CCTGAGAAAATCGGTGGTGATAATTTACATTTTTTTAAATTCAAAACTAGAGCACTTGACTCCCATCCCACCGGATGATAAGTGGCGATGCAGCCTTTGAAGTTTACTTTATTATGGCGGTTTAGTGTGTAGGTACAGAACCCTCGGCGTACGAGTTCGACTCGCACTTGACCGGTTTTTTAATTAGCCATTATGAAAGAAAGAAAGATTTAAGCCAACAGCTTCGTAAAAGTTTTATCTTACTATACACTGTATCCGTAGCGTATAAAGTAAACATATTTTATGTGCCAGTTTATGGAAGATGGTTTTATGAAAATACATTGGACACATAAATCATAATGGGCGCCATTTCTTGTGGTTTAATATATTAGGGGAAGTATAACCAACAACTTTGCTCGCTGTTTTATGGGTCTCTCTTTGACCTATTTATAGGTAGTACAAGCGGGCGGGATGTCAGAAACGTGTTTATCTTTTATGCATCTCGTCTTCCAACAGTTTCTGCTTATAAAACTGGGTCACGCTCGATGAGCGAACAGCGTTACCAAGTTGATTTGTAGAGTCGCCGGTTGTTTAAGACGCGATGGCATGCAAATTATACAAAGAGCTTCGAAATATTGTGTAAGTAATATAATATCTTAAGTAAGAAAGATTATAATTGTTAAGATCCCTTTACGGCCTCCAATATCCCTGTCCAACCAGTTATGCATTGTTAGACTAAAACTCCACATCTCAGCGACTTCTCCACTTCAGAGCTACTGAGGAGACGAAGTACCTCGCTCCCGTTACCATGTTAAGGTGGCCTGTAGACAGAGTGCGGTCTGTCGTGCATGTATGACAACACCACCCCGCGATGCTGGCACAAAACAAATCATACAACTCATGGGACTTGACTGACTCGAATAATGACAGAGCTTCGAAAATTTAGTGGGGGGGGAAGTAATATAATATCTTAAGTAAGAAAGATTATAACCATCTTTTCGTCAGGTGGCCGTATTGCCCTTGAATTTTAAAATGTTGTCCGTTAGCAATCAAAGACAAGATTTTTAATATTGTTTTCTTTGTCAAAACCTGTTATTTAGCATTTACTTCTAGCGTGATCTTGAGATTCTGTACACAATGAAAAAAATAATTAAAAAATTGTAAAATCAATTTTTGCAAACTAGCTGTTGGTTCACCTGGTGTTAATTGATTACGGCCACTCATAGAATCCTTCCATATAAAAACGCCGGTCTTTTTAGAGGTCGTGGGACGAACCGTGTTCGCTGTTGCACGAATGGGCAGGTCCGTCCAGGTTAGTACCACGACCTCACAGTAGACCGGCGTGAAATAGAAGTGTTGCACATCTGCGTTTGGTCTGGTGAGTGAGGTAGCCGGGGCCCAATTTATTAAGAGGTGGCAATGCATCAGCAACCCTACGGATCTTGCAAATGTCCATGGGCAGGCGGCAATCACTTAATATAATCTGAACAGCAAGCTCGTTTGACACTTTCTCACATAAAAAAAAGGTTTTGTTCATTCACCTTATAATTTCGGTTGTATTAATTTTTCAACATGAAAGTGTCCAATAGCCAGTAACATGTTGCAATGTACGTACATATATTATACCATAGGTAGTCGGTACTATATTGTCACCATAACTTATACAAAATTACAAATGTCAAATTTAAGTAGGCTATACCCGTATCATAATTTGATCTGATTTTGTACCAATGAATGCTTTTTTCGAAATTTACTATTTCGTTCCGCTTTTTTTACGTTAACGAAGCCATAGTGAAAATTTCTTTATAATTATGTGAAGTCCGCCAATCTGCAATGGAGTCGCGTGGTGGACTATGCTCTTGTACCCTCTGTACACAGGAGGCCTTTGCCCAGCAATGGGACATTTATAGGCTGTTCTACATGATCCTCCATACTCTATATCAACAACTATAAGTAAGGTCACGGACAAAACTAGTTATTTATAATCTGTTATCGCGTTATAGTAATGGAGTACAAAGAAAAACCAACACGCGTGCTCAAAGATATAAATAATAGCATATAAAACGAATTAGTTATGGTTTCGAATTTTTATTAATTCTAATTAGATTCCTCGAAGAGCTGTTTTGTCAACTTTACAGTCCGAATAACGATTAAGCTTGTACCTTTATTGGATGACAACGATATATTGTCGAGAAAATAGGCCGTTAGCAAAGGTCGGGGGAGTTTACTATTTTATCGGTTAATTGGTGATCGTTCTACGCGCCTCGAGACATTACTATTCCGCTCTTATTCTGAGTCACGGTTAATGCTAACTTACGCACCAAGGAATTCATATTTCTCCTCGTATAAAGCAATAACATAAACGTCATAGGTTAGCATAAGTAATACTAATATAAAATTACTTGAATACTTGATTAATTGATATCCAATAGAAATAATGATCTTGCGTAAGACACAATCGAATCGTATCCGGCGGGTAATAAGGAATGTCATAGTGTCTACTTATAATAGTCTTATATAAATATATATAACTTAATGGTGGATATCGTCGCGACTAGTGAAAAAAGGGCCGGGTCTTTTCTCGCTCAAAAGTTAAGTTCTTGACACTATGACGCGTTGAGTAGATTTATTAGATTACATGTGTTACATTTAAGGTGGTAAATAATGAATATAATAATAAATTGTGTTTATAGCGAAAAAAGTTAATAACCGTTAGCTCGTGTTCTTCTGCTTCTGTATTTGGTTCAGAAGTTTTCAGGTTATTATTTTATTATCGTTGTTTAAGATTGGGCCACGCACAAGGCAAGTGAAGGCAGTTTTCGTATGTTAAGAGTTGTATTATTCAATTTGTTAATTTATTATTGCTTTTGTAATTGAAATAAATAAAAAATATATTTTTATAAAACCTAAAAGTGACGTTTCGAAATAGTCAGCGTAAAATAGATCGTTGCATTGACTAAAACGTATTATTACGTTGATTCACCAGCACAGATCATTAAGAGTTATGACATCGAGAGGCTAGCGTAGTAAATAAGGGAATGTAAACCAATCATACTTCATAATTACTGGTGTTATGTCAGCGCGTAGCCTCAGGCAGTGCGTGCGAAACATAAAGATAAAAGCAACTATACAAGATGCAATGACATTAAAACTATCTAATGCATAAATGTAAGTTTAACTAGTAACTACATACGGACATTTAATCTTTTACGGATCACGGTACATTTCTTTTTATTTCAAAATTCTATAACTGACCAATTGAAAAATGGTTACTTTAAATTTTTACGGCTCTATATCTTTTTAGATACGTTTGTAATCTATCTAAAATGTTACATATACATTTTGTGTATCATCATCATCATCATTTCAGCCTGTTTGGGTCCACTGCTGAACATAGGGAGGTCTATGTCCATAGACTGCCATGAAGCCCGATCCTAAGCCACCTGCATCCATCGACTTCCCGCACATATAATAAAAAAAAAAACCTAAAATACACAAAGGACAAAGTGTATGTGGGAATAATTTCCTAATAAGTCCCAGACTAGTCAAATCTTATGTATAATATGGGGTGTAAGTGATAAACATACATAAAAGTAATTTCCTTTTGTAAATAAATGCACATCTTAACTAATATATAAAATTCTCGTCATGGTGTTTCTAATTGAACTCCTCCGATTCGGCTCGACCGATTTTCGTGAAATTTTATGTGCATATCGGCCAGGGTGGAGAATCGGTCAACATCATTTTTCATCCCCTTAAATGTTAAGGGTGGTCCACCCCAAACATTTATTGATTTATATGGCAAAACAACGTTTGCCGGGTCAGCTAGTCTATATATATAAAAATGAATTGTATTTCGTTAGTCTCGCTAAAACTCGAGAACGGCTGGACCGATTAGGCTAATTTTGGTTTCGAAATATTTGTGGCAGTCCAGGGAAGGTTTAAACGATGAGAAATTATGGAAAAATTGCAAGGAAAATCGAAATAGAAACAATTTTATTTTCCCATACAAACTGTACCTGTCAACTATGTCTGTGTAACCTGTCAAACACTTTATGCGTGCGTTTCGATTCCTCTAGAAATAATTTATATGGCAAAACAACGTTTGCCGAGTCAGCTAGTTATAAATAAATAAACACTCAGACGATAGAAAAACGCTATGTTCATCACACAATATTTTTCCTTTTGTGGGGAACCCACACACTCTGGCACATGAGACAGGTTCACTATTCACTACGCCAATTTTTTCATTACCGTTTATTTTTGCACTACGGTTTGTTTCATACTTATTCCTAGTAAACGTAAACTCTATTGACGCTACCGTTGTATCGTACTAAATTTATGTGTTCGTGTCGCAAGTGTTACCGTCGCCTACTTGTTGCATCCTGAGTTTAATTGCATGCCTATCGATATGTGCCATATTATGTTTTCCTTTAGTGCGCGGTTGCGGTTTAGGTAGCGCTCCGTACACATTGTTTATTGAAAAAGGTTAAAACATTTTTACCATCATCTGTTCGTACCTATGTATGCATATATGTGGTATTTTACACATTTCCTTTATTTAAAACTAAAAATGGAAAAATGAAAAATGTGTAACGAATAACAAAGATGTATAAAATTATGTTTACGACCATAGTCCACTACTGTCGCTCGTAAAATTTTGAACGGACGAAAGATGACGCGCCGTTACGCCGGGCGCCGGGCCTTTATTTCAAAATAAACATGGGGTTATATTACTCTGTTACCATAACTTACTCATACATATATTACTCTGTAACCATAAGATTTATAACTTATGTTGTTTTAGATGCTTTGTAGTTTTTATTCTAAAAATCTGTCAAGGGCGTCAAAGAAATTGAAAGAAATTTAATATTTATTCTAAACGAATCATGACGATGCCCAAGAAGTAGAGCTTTGTGTCGACGACAATAATTGTTCATACGTTTGTATGAAATAGTTGTAATTGTAATTGTTTATATGAAAGGGGTGATAAATTAACAGTGTATCCTTGTTGTGAACAGACATCAAACAACAATGGCGAATACTCAACACGAAGCTTGCCTCGGGTCAGAATAGACACTGGTTCAAACGCAGCGAACGCGGGAGTAAGATTGCGATGTTGGGCAGCACCGCCTTCTATAACCGAGGAGGAAGTCGAAGATGATATTGAAGAGGATGCTGTTTCGCTACGAGCAGTGCCCGTTCAAGGTACGTAATTTTTTTTATTATTAAAGTAGTTTTTGCATTATTCTGAACAAAACCCCGGTATAATTGAAACGGCATTTTTTTGTCATGTGTGTCAGAGCCATCTAGTGTCGAATAGAATGACAAATGTAAAAAATGGCGTGTTCATGTTCCTATTATGGTATCGCCGTACCTAGAAACATTGCCACTAGATGGCACCACGCGTGTAATATAGAAATTCTAAAGAAATCCACACCATCAGATAAATGTGAATGAAATATGAAATATTTTTTTCATTAAATTTTTTTTGACTTATTACGCAGTATCTATAAAGAAAAATATAGATAGTTGATAAAGTCCCCGGAAATACTTGTTTCAATCTTCCATAGTTAATTTTTCAATTGCAACTGCTTCAAAAAAAATTGTTGCATTGGGCGCGAACATGTAGGCCTCGTCTTTTGCGCGTCTTCTCAAATTGCGTCACATAAATTATTCCGCAACGTACTCACTCACCTCTGCTTCGGGATTCTCGAGACAAAAGAGTTTAAAAAGTATTATTCATGTGCAAGGCATTGAATGTATATGTATATGCATTTTGGTCCTAAACATACACAACGACTTTTGAAGAATAAATTATTAATTGTAGAGATATATAGATTTGAGGTCAAAATGATAGAAACGCCATTGAATATTTAGCCTGTAGGTACTAGTACTAGTACCCATTACGTGTACATCATAATGTGTTTAAAAGCTAATTACTGAACTGTGTTCCTGCCTGGAAAAAGTGACACATCAAAACACTAGTTGAGTCACTGTGAGTGTCATTATTTAAGAGAATAGTGTGACCATGGGTCCCTTTTGAAAATATGAGAACCATGATTGATATAATTCGAATAGTTGTGTATAATTTTTTTCAAAGGTATAAAATATATAACAATCAAAATCATTACCAAAATACCACATGAAAATGCATAGTATAAAAGGCGATCTTGTTTAATTTATAAACAAGTAATTTGTACAGTTTGTTTATTATATAATTTGTATTTGTATAGTTCATTTAAATCCTCTCAGCTGTGCCGGCGTGAGAAGAAACGTAAACTTTCGCAGTTGTTACGTTATTGCCGTCAATGATGGATATAATTATGTATAAGTCACTTAGAAAGTTCGATTTGTGACAGGGACGTTTTTAATTAAAGCAGGTTTTTGAATGGCCAAACTAAACTTGTTAAACTTCCTTTTGGTAGCGATTGACTTGATTCTTATCGTTCGTATTGCTTTATCGTAGTTTATGATACTTTTGAAGTAGTTTTTCAGCGCGTGAGTTGTTAACTTGAATGTTCTATATAGCTCCGACTGCATCGTTGTCAATGTCAACATTTACGAAGTTCGTCTTTCGTTCATACGTATACACCCGTAGGCGGGGTGATAGTCGAGCACTGGCCAGTTTTTGAGTAAAAAAAGGTACAGTAGGTCCTTCGATGTCCCAAAACTCCGTGGGTGTAGGCACTGCATGGGGCAGTCTGAGGAGGAACTGATGTTGGTTACATGAGAGAAGGGGTGCTCTCACCGTAACGAGGCGCAGCCCGGTCACCCATCCGGCACCGATCGATTAGCCCGCTTCTTGCCACCACTCTCGGCCGCATGCCTGGCTTTTTACACGCAACGCTCCTATCGACAGTTCGGCTCGTCTCGGAACGCATCCGTCTGACCGAATTCAGTGATTGTTGTCGCAAACAGCGCCTTACAGTCCTTCGTTCCGCACCGACGCCCGAGAAAGTTCTCGATCCGCTCCATCGGTTAGCGGACGTTACTTATGTATGAAGGTAGAGGTTTTTAAGTCTGTAGTTCTGAGGTTTGTAAAAGTCTCTATGATGTATTAGGAATATGGATGGAAGATTTTGATAGTGGATTTTATTGTACAGATTATTTGTATCTGAGTATTGGCAGTCTCAAGAGTGATAGTAAAGCACAAACTATAATTAAGAAATTCATGAATCATGAAAGTGGAAGAGGAAGAAAGTTGAGAAAAAGGGGAATGTTGAGAACTATTTCAGTGTAATCAAATGCAAAGCTACACATTTATTTTGTAAATGATGTTTTGCTACTAATTGTTTGAAATTGTTTGCAGGCTTATACAATTATAACTATATCAATATTGTCTATAATTCTTTCGGTAATCCATTAATAAGTGTGGCATAGACAATCTTGATTCAAAGATTACGAGCAGCTAAAGTTCAAGTGTGCAATACACTTTATTTACCACCGTAGTGGGTACGCTGCTTAATATACCACTATGGCAGTGATTCTCAACCACTGTGCCGCGGCACTTTTGTGTGCCGCCAAATTTCAAAAGTGTGCCGCCAAATTTTGCTAATATATTATAATGTTAATATTATTAAATTATATCATTTAAAAAGAAAAATATTTTTTGGTATTAGCCAACATTAAACTAAAAAAAGATCAAGATTGTTAAATGTAGAAGACGATATGAGAGTAGCATTTTCATTTTTACGACCAAATATAAATGAAATTATCAAAAAACATCAAGCTCAAATTTCGCATTAAAAATATTTTTATTATTAGCTTGTAATTAATCCCTTAATAAACGTTTAGTTATTATTGTAGTATATATTAGTTTCTTTCGTATATTTAAAATTTTTGTCATAAACTATTTATGCAGTGTGTTGTAGTAAGTAAATAATTTTTTGCCGCCAAAGAAATCGTTAAATTTTGTAATTTGTTTTGTAGTAAGTAAATAATTTTTATCTTCTTTGTGTGCCGCCAAATTTTGAAATCGTTAAATATGTGCCGCAACAAAAAAAAGGTTGAGAATCACAGCACTATGGTATACTTTTGTAGTATTGTAATGTGTCACAATGGTCGCGGTCGCTGTCCCTCCGTCTGGCGCAATCGAGCTAAAACGAGCACAATTACGATACTGCCTTTTTTAATTGATATGGCTCCCTCACTGGCGGTCGGAGCGTCACTGCAGCGACCCAGTGACAGTGAATTTACGGCCAATTGGACAAGCCGGCAGCGATCAGCTTAATTTGGCAGATTAATACTGACGCTTATGGATCTTCAAATCGATAAGCGAAACGAACTGAACTATGTTAGACGCAAGGAAGCTGAATATAAGTGAGCGGATGTATTTGGTGCACGAAATCTTGTTTCGAGATTAGATGCTTTAGACGTAACGAGGTACATTTTAAATTTGGACAAAGGTGAAAAGAATAATAAAATTTACCAATACTTGATAAAACTTTTTTTGAATCTGTATTCGAATGGCCATGTTGGCCAAGTTTTAATTATCTAAAGCAAAAACTTGAGTCACTGAGATATGAAATGTACAAAAGCAATGGAGCTTTCGAGTGTGAACAAATGATGTCGTACAGGAGTGGACTGGAGCAAATGACAAGTTCAAGTTGTTTGACAGCGAGTGTCATATGTGCAATTCATCACAAAACGCCTCTGCCGTATTAAATTTATTTTGTCAATTCTAAGATTGTAATGAATTGTTGATTCAATTTGCACTTTTGACATGGCTTAGCTGTCTATTCTGTGTCCGTAAAATGCAACAGATTTTATTGATTGTTGAAATCCTCTTATTTGTAAGGATATATAAGAAGTTTGGACAACTATGGCGTTATTTTGTGGTCGTTGTTCAGTAACTTAATGCGGTACATACATTCCGTGCTCCATTTTTCCAATCGGCATTTATTTAGGATTCTTCTTTTTATCTTTCGCTCGCATTGCAAGTATTCTTAAGCAATCTTTGACAGCTTAGATGTTTGAAGAAAGCGTTATCTATTTCTAGTAAAAAATATGTCTCTCATCCGTTGGATAGCCCGTAGAGAGAAACGGGAGGCGACTGACGCTTTAAAAATAGTCGACGTCACTGTCGTGCTAACGAAAAGCACGAATTTAGAATGTACCTTCTTTGCCTTATTTTTTATTTTTGTGCTGGGCATATCGATTTTTTAATTTAAAATTTCGGTTTCCTCTGCTATAGATGCTCTGTGATTAGATGAATTTAAACTCTTGGTGTAGTTATTTGTAGAAGCACCCGAAGAGGCAGAAAAGAGTTCTTTAGACTAATTTTAATAAAATACCACCGAAAAATTGCGACATACAAATAACTAAGAGGGATGGAATTTTTTATCGAAACGAACGGTGCATTCAAATTGATTTTCCATATGCGGCCGTGGACCTTTGATTTGTCATTTAACACGAAGCCTGACTCACGGCTGAACTAATAGGGAAGTGGGACTGAGGTTTGGCTTACCGCCGCCGCACCCGTGTTTGGCAAACTGCGCTCGTCCCGAATATTAATCGTGAACCGTAATTTCATACGCGTTCGGAAATAAGCACGTCGTTTTGCTAGCGAATGATTCTACCGCTTCGTTGTTTAAATAAAGAATGGTTTTACATTCTAACGTTTGCGAACAAAAACGTTTCTGGACGTTGCCGCGAGATAGACAGCGTCACGCGCCAATTGGTTTCATGCCCCATAACTTACCGCCATTGCTAGTAAATTTCTCCATGGGAGTACATCTCATATAACTTTACTGAATAAATTGTGTTCGCTGGGAAATATTACGCTTAACAAAATGTTAATGCCAGTACTATTCCTAAAATAAAGTAGAAACAAAACAAAACGATCCAGTAATGTTATTGCTTAGCGAACAATACAGTCGGGAACGGTAACCGTTTGGAACGCAATGTTGGATAAACAGTTAACTGATTCTAAATATGGTCGTAATCTTTCATCGGTAGGAATATTAACGAGCGGTTAGTGATAAACAATTTACTAATAAAAGACTGGCTGAGTACATCATGATAGTAATTAAAGCTGAAATACCTTTTTCTCGGAGAAATCAGCAAATGTGCGGTTTAACCTAGTGTTAAGTGATGACTGCTGTTAGGAAATCGATAACATAGCTAAGAATAGGGACAGTTTTACGTACCTGGTGAAATGCAAAAGTATCAAGTACTACGTGGCTCTAAACGGACACTTAAAATAAATCTT